TGTAATCCTTTTCAAAGAATGATACTATCATCTACCCACACCTCAAGTCAAAACATGGAAGTCGGCCTTGATTTATTATTCTCTTTCAACACTCCATCAATCACCAAGTCTTATTTATTTTACTTCTTTAATATAGTTCTAATCCATCCACTTCTGTCAATCTAATTCATCATTCAACTAATGTTAACTGAATATCTACTATGTACCAGTCACTCTACTAGATATCTGGGAAGAAATGATGATCTAAATTGCTATGTTCCCTGCCCTAATGGACCTCAGCAGTAGTCTGGTTAAGAGAGCAGACACTAATCAAATACATGAGAAAATGGAAAATTATAACTGTGACAAGTCTTATGAATTAGAATTTACAATGGGAATTCATATGGGAATTCTGACTTCATCAGGGAGGTCAGGAAAAAGACGTGAGCTTAAATCTAAAGGGTTCATAGGAGGCAACTGGATGAAGGGGAAGAAAAAGCATTACAGAAAAGGTAACACAAACAAAGCCCCAGTAATAGAGGACAAATACCAGTATAAGATACTAAAAGAAAGCCAACATGGCTGAAATGCAGAAAACACAGAATATAGAGGGAGATGAAACTAGAAAGATGGGGATAGACCAAGCACTGTCTGTGTATTTCATCATTTCTGAAATATTGCAATATTCTCCAAATTGATCTCCTATCTTGAGTCTCAATCAACACCTCCAATTCATTCTTTAACCAATTATCCCCAGAGTGATTTTTCTAAGACACTAATTTATTAATGTCCCTTGCCTATTTAAAATCTTTCAATGGCTCCCCATCACTCTAAGATAATCTTCAAACCCTGTAACACAGCATATCAGGCTCTTCATGATCTGGGCTATAATGTCTGTTTTAAATGAACCACCCCATTTGTACCACAGTTATGCTAGAAATAAGTATTATTTCACCAGTTTTCCCCTCCTGATGCACTGCCTTTTTCATTATACACTCACCAACACACCTGTTCCTGCCTTGATTGTCTGGCAAAGTTCTATCTCCCTCTCAAGACTTGGTTCAAGCACCAGTTCCAAAATACAGGAAACTGAGTACGGTTTTTAAAAAGTTCTTTTCAAATTTTGAGGGCAGCATATATTCCATACAAAATAACAAAAATTTGCAAAAAATAAACGGAACGTTTTGATGTTACAGGGAGAAGACCAAAACAAGACAAAGGGAAATACACAAGGGACTTAGTGAAACAGGCTCTAAATCTTAAGATCCCAGCAGAACTATTGGTGATGGCAGGGTGGGTAGAACAGTTCAGATTTGAAAAAGGTTTCCTAAAGATTGCTAAAAATTTAATTTTAGAAGAAGATAGTGGAGGTCATTTTCTGTTTTCACAGCAAAGTACAAAAGAATATAAACAGACACCAAGAGAAGAAAAGGATAAAAATGTTTAAAAACTGAAACATTCGTTAGTATCTACCCTTTTTATCTTTACTAGAATTGAGATAATTATTGTAGACTTCTACTCATTTACAAATATAGAATATAATTTACTTCAAATTACCAATTCAATTTTGATATTCTAACCTTTATTTCCTCTGGGATTAATTTTCTAAAATCAAAGTCATTCAGTAAATACTTACCGACTATTTGCTCCTTCTCCAGCCACAAATCGTTTCTGAGGATATTTGTCTTTAAGTTGTTTTAAAGTCATCCTGTTATGGGCTACAACCCAGACGTCACCACCTTTTCCACCTTCTCCCCCTAAACGAGGGTAACCCATTCCACCACTTCCTCCTTTGGCGAAGAGTCTTAGGTTATCAATGAAGTTTCCATACTTAAAAAAAGACAGAGAAAGAGATCATTTGTATACCAAACATGCTTACCAACTTAGAATTCCCAATCTTTTTTTTTTTTTTTTTTAACCACTAAAGCTCCTAAAAAAAAATCCATACTGGCTTTCTGATTGTCAGATCTATAGTCTTTTTTCTTAGTTCACCTCTGGTTTGACCTCCCTCTCCCATTTGATGAACTCTCTTAAGATGTCTTTTTTTCACTTGTCAGTTGTCCCACTTTGTGTCTCAAGGTTTCTGACACTGTCCCCCCTTTTTTCGAAAGATTTACTTACTTAATTTTAGAGAGTGCATGCATGTACAAGCAGCGGGGATTGGGGGAGGAAGAGGAAGAGAGAGAATCTCAAGCGGACTCCATGCTCAGCAGGGAGCCCGATGCAGGGCTTGATCTCATGACTCTGAGATCATGAGCTGAGCAGACATTAAAAGTCGGATGCTTAACCAAGTGGGAGCCCTGTCCCACTTTTCAATCTAGATTTTCTCCTCTGGGTGATATCAGACTGTACCAGTAAACTATCACCTAGGTGAGATATTCTATATATCTAGTCTGTTGGCTATCTCCATCAGGAGGTAAGCTTAACAGGTGAAAGCAACCAAGAGCAAGATCTGCATTTAATTTATATTTGAAGCCTCTCAAATATGTAACTTTTTCTTAGACATTAGTTGAAAGGGTAATAGTCACTGTAGATATACAACATGGCAAAACCAAATTTTTCCCCAGGTAAATTCTGTGTCCCCAATATTCTCTCAAATAATTGAACCACCATTTATCTAGTCATTGAGTCTATACTGGGGAATCTCTGACTATACCTGCTTCTTTTCTCAAAGCTCTATTACCTATTTCTCCTTTCTGATACCACTGCCTTAGTATTTTGACCGTTACACTGGCTCTAAAATGCTCTTGCAATGTCTAATCATGCCTTCAACTCAGCCTTTGTCCTGCTGCCTGAGCTATTTTTCTGAAAATGGATTTGATCTCTAATTATATTTCTCCCTACTCAAAAACCATTCATTTTTGTTTTTGCTGTTTATGAAATAAAGTCTAAAATTCCCAATAGTAAAAGTTCTTAACTTATTCTTCCAATTTCATTTTCATTTGTCCAATCTCCATCTCTCCTTCCTCTTTGCTCTGTACTACATAATCTACTATCACATTTCCATGCCACTCTGCTCAGATTTTTCCTCCAATGTCATGTGTTCTTTTCTACCATAAACCCACCCAAATGTCAATTTTCTGATGTCTTTCTTTATTCCTCTAGTCAACATTTACCACTGACTTTGCTGGACTCTCTCAGCAATTAGACCATATCTTTATTATTATGCCTTTTGAAATCTTATACTGCATTTAGTATTTGTTTTCCTCACTAAACTTCTGCAGGCAAAGATCCTAACCTCTCAAACTATCAAAATTCCTTATAGAGCAATTTCTTTAATTGACAGTCTTTGGTCACTTAGCATAGGTTAAGTACCAAAAACATCTTTTTCCAAAATAGGTATAGTCCACTGACCATTCCACTGTATTCTGGAGGAGGGGATAAGGATAGATCTCACCAGCATATTTAGTAAAAGCTCCCTTGGTGATTCTGATGCAGTCTAGTTCTCAGATTGCAATGGATGGGAGCACAACAAAGATTTGAAGTTTAGGTTTTGAGTACACAAATGTACTCATGAAATAGAATGTTCTAAGGGAACAGGGTGGAAGGAATATATAAAAGATGAACTTGAGGGCTAGCCAGAGTATTTTTCTTGCAGATGAAGAACTTATACTTTGATTCTGCCAGAACAGATCAGAAATGAGTCACGTATAAGTGAACAGATTCCCCCTGCAAACAACATTTAATGGAAGTGACTGTTTAGGACAGTAAGATTACACAAGCAGCCTTTCATAACTGAGCCACACAAACACACAAAGAAGCAGTTTCTTTTTGGTTGAAGAATTAGTTACCTCATACACCCCAATACTACCTTTCCCATGTTTCTTTTCTATTGGCTACCTATTTTCTGGAAAATAGAGGAGTGGATGAAGTATGATTTAATTTGGGCTGCCTGGCTGGCTCAGTCAGTAGAGCAGGTGACTCCTGATCTCAGGGTCTTGAGTTCAAGCCCCACATTGGGCATAGAGCTTACTGAAATAACAAAAAACTTCCAAACTCCAAAAAAAAAAAAAAAAAAAAAAAAGAAAGAATAATTTAATTCAGAATATTATTAACCATGCCTCTCTCTCCAATAAAAAGAAAGTTTCTGTTTTTAAAGTCCCATTCAATGTGTAAAACATTTCTTACTACTCTAGATTCATCATATTCACGGGTTTAGAAACCAAACTTAAAATGAGTATCTGACTGTCGTCATTTTTAATGACGCCAGCAAGTCTCAAAACATTACTAGTGAGGCTCTTTAAGACTTTTTTCTTTAATTTTGAAGCAACTGTAAATTTTTACAGAAACGATGTCTAAAATGAGCACTGCATAAAAACTGACCTAAATTTCTTGCAAGAAGGCAAGCCAATTACATTACTTTCGTTTCCTGCTGAATAGTTTTTAGAAAGCTCTTAAAAAGAGTACACTAGAGAAAAACATATATAGGAACAGGCTATGGATATTATTACCTAAAAGAAGAAAAATAGACTATTTGAGCCAAAAGAAAGCGTCAACCCTACACACTATGTACACCATACTGCATGCCTAAAAGGCAGGCAGGTTTCCCCAGCTCCCCATCCCACGAACACAATTCCCCTGAAGAACCTCAAACCTTATCCCTCCAAACAACCGTCCTAAACCATGCCAGGTAGATATACTCTTCACATCCCTCACAGGCCAAGCCTGACTCCTGGAAGGGCTAAGAGGAGACAACTATTGTAGAACCAAGCAGGAAAGAGGCCCCCAGAAAGAAAAAGGGGAGGAAAGCAAGGAGGAAAGGGGAACCAGAGTTCTCAGGTGGCGCTACAGGCACCATGCTCTGAGCAACAGGATGAGAAACACCGGACACGGACCTTTCTGAACCACACGCAACTGCAGTGCACCATCACTGCGAAGTCCCAGGACTCATTCCCGAGGCAGGTGTCCACATCGAGTTAACGCGCGGAATTTTGACGTCACCACTGGCGGCGGAACATATTTTGCCAACGCACGCGGCTGCAGGGATGGCGCATGCGCTTATGGAGAGCTCCCGCGGACAGGCGCAGACGCAGACACAGGCGCTGAGCGGCGTCCCTTACTGGTAGGTGGGGAAAACTCACCTCTCCGTAGTCGTAAAGCCCCGAAAAACGCCGAGAAAATGTTGAGGCTTCCTCAGGCACGGGGCAGTCAGGTACAGAATGGATACCTAGGAAATTGACATTTAGTATGGGATGGCACTGGACATTGAACTGCCCTGTTCAATTTTTACTCTGATTGAGGAAACCAAGGGTACCACAGACTTCACTCGGGGAAGCGGAGTAGAAAAAAACAAAAGAACCACCAAACAGACCATAAAACCAAACGCGTAAAAGTCGCAAATTCAGTTGCGAAAAAAGAGCGCGTAAAGCTGTTTGTTCATTGACGGGTTGAGTAACCTCTTGTTAAGTGCCCGGAGCCAGTGCATTTAAAACTTGGGATGCAAATGTCAGGACCTGAGGGCTGTAACAATTTCATTGTGTCTAGTGAGGAAGGAAATTCGTCTTAAAACAGTTTGTGAGACATTAGCTTCTTGGAGGTGGGTAGACAAGAGTCTTTCCTCACCTCACATTTAAAGCGCGGCTTTGTGAGAATTAAAAAGCCTATTTTCCTCAGCCGAAGCAGGACCAGCAGAGAAAGTGGTATCCCTGAAGTCCGCCCCACCCACCTCTACTCCCCGAACGCCTCATGGAAAAAAAAAAAAAGTCCACAGCCAAGTTAGGCGGCCCCGCACCACAATGCAAGTCTTACAGTAATCTTTCTTAACCACTCAGAATTCATTTCTAGAATCCTTTTCATATTTTTACTCCTCTTTTATAAAAGTCATTATTTGGAGATGAAAAAAAAAATGTGAAAAATATCCCTGTCTTGATTGCTTTGTTGCTACTGAGCCTCACTCTTCCCCACCAGTCAGTAAAGTTGTGATTGTCATCAATTAATCAGGACGTTAGGCTTAGTATGTAGATGCTTAGTTTAATCTTGTTAATATTTGCTGCCATTTAGATTACTGTCTTTACAAGGTCTTTCTCTTCCGTCAGAATAGTGTTAAGCCCAATCTATTTATTTTCTGATTTTTTTCTTATTAATGGACACAAGCCAAAATTGTTTTCTATCCCATAATGCATGGGCAAATAACAGCAAATGAAAATAAATGAGAAAATGATACTAAAACATCCTAAAATACAGAGGAACATTATGCACTATAAACAAAGGATAAAGTATATTTTCCTTAAACAAAACAAGGTCAGAGCCTGAGATCTTTATTACAGCTCTGGTTATCAGTTAGTAAAAGAAACATGAAACTGGAAACTTTTGCCTTTAAATTGTGTAGCTAAAATGAAGGTGAGGTGAAATGACTCAAGGTATTATCCAGACCTGATACATAGGTCATTATTGGATAAAATGTCACTATCTCTGCCACTGAGAAAATGCCACTCTCTTCCCTATGGTTACTCAGAAGATAAGAGTATATGCAAACCATTGAACTCAGTGGCACTAGAAAATTTTGCATAATAGGCATGGTAGTCCCAAAGGAGCTGTTGGCATAACTCACAATTTGATCTAAAAAAATGTTTAATATAAACTAGAGTTATTCTAATACAAAAATTTTAATAAGCATTTTATTTTGGAATAAATTTAAAATTATAGAGAGATTACAAAGATAGCCCAAGGAGTTCCCATCCCTTTACTCAGCTTGCCTTAATGTTAACATACAACTATTTGTCAAAACTAGGGACTTTATGTTTGTACAATACTATACACTACAGACTTTATTTGATCTCATTACTTTTTATTTATTTGATCATTTATTCTCATTATTTTTAATTTATTTGATCTCATTACTTTTTCAACTACAACCTTTTTCTATTCCAGAATATAATTTTGGATACCACATTACATTTAATCTGATAAATATTTTAGTGTAGTTATTATTTTAAGTATAAAATGAATGTATAATTTAAAAATGTAACATTTTATAATTTTGTACTGTTTAATTTTGTCAGCAGACTGAAATGAAAATTGTCTAAATTATTATCTGCTTTGTAGATTATTTAAATTGATCTTTTGTCTTCTCACCTATTAATTAGATTCTTACCTTTTGTGTGTCATGCTTTTGGTTCTGCTATCCAAGAGAAATCAAGGTAACTAAGTTAAAAGGCCTGTATGTGAAATTGTCATCAATTTTACACCTCTCCATTGGGTGTTCACTAACTTCCTTGAAATGCCCACCCCTTCTTCTCTACACCAAAAACTAATTTCCTAGGACCCACAAATGAACTCCAAATGTGGCCTTTTCTCCTGCAGTAGGCTTCTTTAGTTTCCTTTTTTTTTTTTTTTTCCTGCTCCTATCAAAACCTAGCCAGCCTATAGCTTATTTCCTGAGGACATTTCCAAGGACTGTTCAGCCATTCTGACAAATTGAGTCAAGATGTTTGTAGGTAGAACTGGTATAAAGTTACTTCTAGTAAAAATAATTGCCTACTACATGGCTTCCAGTTACTTCATTAAGGAGATATAACTCTGTTACTGGAATTTTCAGGTACCGTAGCAAATCAGTGGAAGGGATTTTTGGTGGATGAGCAGGTCTTTCAGATCTGCTTAAGGCAGATGGCTTCCTGTGTTATCAACCATAGGCCTAAACCATAATGGACTTGAAATTAGGTGGGAAAGGAGGTTAAGCCTGGAAACAAATAAGCCTGTTTCTTTTTATGAGATAATAACTAAACTCAAATTTGTAGGAAATTTCATCTATAATATATAAGTGAAAGTATAGTGCTGTATTATACTGTAATATTATAAAAAACATTTGTATTTATATTATTCATCTCATTTCTCTCTATTAATATAGTTAGGAATTAAATAGTTTATCCCAAAATTTGCTATAAGATTAACTTTCTGATACTTTTCAGCACCTACAGTTCTTTTTTCTTTTGTATCTATAGTTTTTGTTATAAATATTATACATTAGCAGGAAGTAACCCGTTAGGTTGGATTTACTAGTATTTACTAATAAAATGTTTTCTCTCTGCATTTCCTCTTCTAGAACCAACCCAATGACAAAATGTTGAAATAATAGTTTGTTTTTAGTGTTCTTAGGCTTCCTTTTCTGCATCTGCCCCCCCAGTACATTATAATTACTTTTTATTATAGATACTAAGTACCCTTCTGCTTTCCTCTCACAGTGCTCATCAAAACCGGATCTCAGGCATAAATATGATACCTGCATTTTACAACCTAACATGATTTTAACTTGGTGTATTAATTCCTCAGGGCATTTACTTCTAGTTTTTATCTCTATCTGTGAAATGAACAAAAGGCCCTAACTTCTACTAAAAGAATTTTAAGCTTTAGTGTGGGAGATCCTCCAGTGGGGGAACATGTGGAAAGAGGAAGGTTTCTTGGTGTCCTCAGTATAACAGAAGGTGGCAACTTATTCTAACCTTAATTATTTTGTTGATTCTGTAATGCATTGTTATCAGGCTTCACTAGATTTCATATACTATGAAAATAATGTCACCCAAAGGTCTTCTTCACTGTTACCCTTTATCCATATGATCTCCAGAGGTGTTCCCTCCCCTCCCTTAAACTTATGCATTTGATCATATCACTGTATTCAAGATCCCCTTATGGTCTCAGCCATCATATCATGTTCCAGGTGGAAACATTTACAAAGTTGCTCTCTTGGAAATTCCATTCTTATGTCTCATTGCCACCTTGATCTTGAAATGATTTTTTTTTTTTTTTTAGATAAGCTGCCACATTGTCATCTCCAACTATTTAGACGTCTTCATCTTATACTTTTTAATATTTCCTAACAGGTCCATCTGGCTCAGGCCTAACACTCAATATATACTCCCTGAATCATGACCTGAGCCGAGTTAATTAATTAACTGAGTTAATTAATTTATTCTTAAGAAGGACAGTACCTAGGGACGCCTGGGTGGCTCAGTGGGTTAAAGCCTCTGCCTTCGGCTCGGGTCATGATCCTGGGGTCCTGGGATCGGGCCCCACATCGGGCTCTCTGCTCAGCAGGGAGCCTGCTTCCTCCTCTCTCTGACTTCCTCTCTGCCTACTTGTGATCTCTGTCTAATAAAATCTTCAAAAAGAAAAAAAAAAGATTAAAAAAAAAATAAAAAAAGAAGGACAGTGCCTAGATTGCTAAATCCTATGACATACGAATCACCTGAAGTAGGGCACAGAGTTATTCTCACTTGTTAGCCTTATAATCTCCAAAACACAAATTCTTTCAGTTTCGTGCCATTAAAAATATTGTTACTATGAAAATGATCATTAATTGTGGTCTTACACTCAGTGATTAAATCAAGTTCTCCTAGATAATAAAGGTAAACAGACTAAACAAATAAGAGCCATATGCCCACTAAACTTCATCTCCCTAGATTAAAATGTAGCATTGTCAAAGTGAGGGCCTCAGGCCATATAATTATTACTCTGAAACAAAACCTATGTGAAGAAAAAGAGTAGATTTATTGCCTTTCTTCCTAGGGATTTATGGTTTGTTCATTCCTTCATTAATATAACAATTACTGAGTTCCTAATTTATCCCACATATTCAGGTATGGGCTGAGACACTGCCACAGCTACTGGAATAACTAAGCAAGAGTAATTAAGCAGAGTAGTTGTGTTAATGAAAGCAAGAAATAAATTCTATTATTTCTGATACCTGAACTCATAGTGAGTGGAGAAACTTATTCCTGTTGAACGTGGTTTTGTTTTGTTTTTCATGCACCCTGTTTTTAATTTGAAGAATGTCATCAAAAAGTTATTTTCTTGAAATATTCATAGAAATCCCGAGAATTGGTTGAATCATGTTTTTAAGACCCCCATTGTCAACTACTTGTACTAGAGGAACAATAGTATTTTAAGGGGCTTCTACTAAACTATGAGTCATTGACTGCTCTCTTTTTAATGCTTTCTTGTAATCATCCACAGGTATAAGAATGGCAGTGGAATCATCAGAAGGATCTTTGATAATGTGGCTTCCTGCCTGTCCAAAACAAGAGTGCTCATACAGCAGGAAATTCAGTAATGTATTCAGGATTCTCATTGACCTAAACCATTTTCTTTGTTGCTTGTTACTGATACTTCATAAAACAGTCTCCACCCACAGTAAAATAGAATTCTTAGATAATTTGAATAATAATTCCAGATAAGGAAATGAATATTTATAGTAACATATTCATGTATTATTTTAAGTCTTTATTACTACCTCATTATAAATTAATCATGTAGAATATTCTCTCCTAGAAGGAGGTATTGTTAGAACATGTAAGTCATTGTCCTATTGTTACTTAAACCCAAGTTTTACTGCCTGTTGCTTGAAAGGCCACTATTCAAGAGATGAATTTTGATTGGAAAGGAATATGAACTTTATTCAGGAGGCCAGCTATCTGGGGAAAGGGTGGATTCTTATCCAAAGGCCAACTCCAAGGCTTCCGCCTGGCCCAGAGATTTTTAAATGGTTTTAATTAGTTAAAGGAGTACAGTGGTCTGTGACACTTCTTGGTTACCTGCAGACTCAATGATGCCAGCTACAGAGTTATCTTGGTAATCAGAAGTTCTGGGTCCTTGGTACTAGAGGGTGGTTATTATGCAAGAGTACTCTGTTCTTTCTGCAAAGGAAGGTAAGCTCTATGGATGTGCAGCGGTCAGTAAAGTCATCTGTGTGACCTTAAAAAGAAAAAAAAACATTTTGCTAAAAGATTGCTGGGCTAATCAGAAAGCCAAGGCATCTTCAAGCCCATTTGCTGGCCTCTGTGGCCTGGGAAAATTTTGGTCCCTTATTCCCCAAGGTCAGTGGTCTGCAAATCTCAAAGAAGACAAATTAGTTTTGTTACAGATCAAGGACCTTAAGTGAGCAGGCGAAGAGTGTGTTAACTTGAAGCAAGCTAACCCTTAAGACTGGCTGGAGTGCTGTCACACTATGCATGTGTGTTAGACTATCACTCCACACACGGTAAGCTACAGCTTTAGCATGAAAAAGTGTTTGTGTACGTTGCACCCATTATGTAGCCTCCAGAGGACACATGGCAGAGATTATACTCTGAGAAGGTAAAGAACACATAACTTACTAGAGGACATGGTTGTGTGAACAGAAGTGAAGTTTATGAAGAACTTATTTTGTTCAAGAGTATAGAACATAAAAAATATATAGTTTTTAAAATTTTCCTAAGGACCATATGTACTCCAAAGAGATAATTTTTAAAAATTGGATTTGTAATAATTCTGGTTGGACTTTAAATACATTTATTCATTCAATCTAACTTTTTCAACAGGACTAAATTTCTCATTTAGTTACTGTAGAGCTCCCAGAAATTTTGGTATTAATTTCTGCTATCTATTTCCCTATCTCCCTTTGACTCTTCAACCTACTACAGTTTTATTTCTGTTACTACTATTTCATTAAAATTACACTCATTAGATCCTTTTCTCAGTACACATTTTATTTGCTCTGGAAATGTCTGTTAGTGAGGCAATTACCGTTATGGGATATTCTCCCATTTTTTTAAAAAAGATTTTATTTATTTATTTGACAGACAGAGATCACAAGTAGGCAGAGAGGCAGGCAGAGAGAGAGAGGGAGAAGCAGGCTCCCCACTGAGCAGAGAGCCCAATGCGGGGCTTGATCCCAGGACCCTGGGATCATGACCTGAGCCAAAGGCAGAGGCTTTAACCCACTGAGCCACCCAGGCGCCCCTTGAGATATTCTCCCATTTTTGTTGACCAAACCGAAAGCTAACAAACAGGAAAGGAAAAAAAAAAAAAAAAAAAGCTACCAAAAGGTAATATGGAACCTCTGACTTTATGTAATTCTTTTATATAATTATTAGTAATAAAAAGTAGGCTCAAATGCCAGTATGTAACAAAACTAAGTGGGAAAAAAACCCACAAAGTTTGGCAATTATACATTAGCTCCCCTGACCTAACAGAATGCTAAGAAAGTTTCTGATGAGTCAAAATGAGGTGGCAGTAATTGAATGATGGAAAGGATGAGTCTATATCTAGGGCAAGTAAAGAATAAGTTGTTTACTCAGGAGCCTTATAGGGTGGAATTGGTATAATGCTTATGTGTGAGTGATTTTTTAAAGTTACTTTTACATTGAACAAGCCCTAAGCATAAGACCTAATAAAACACATTTTTTTTTTTTTTGCTTCCCATTATCTCTTTAAATATTTCTAATGGTGGGAGTTTTCCCCCACTGTTGAATTAGAGTTCCAAAGTTCTTTTCTTTTCTTTTTTCTTTTCTTTTCTTTTCTTTTCTTTCTTTCTTCCTTCTTCTTTTTTTATGATTTATTTATTAGAGAGAGAGAGAGAGTGCACAAGCCAGGGGAGGAGAATAGGGAAAGAGAGAGGGGAAGCAGACTCTTTCTGAGCAGGGAACTCTATGCAGCGCTTGATATCAAAACCCTGAGATCATGAGTCGAAAGCTTAGCCAACTGAGCCATCCAGGTACCGCAATGCCCCCCTCCAAGGCTTTTGATCCACTCTTAGATAATAACCAGACCTGAAAAACATTTTAAGGTCCCAGGGGCACCTGGGTGGCTCGGTGGGTTCATCCTCTGCCTTTAGCTCAGGTCATGATCCCAGGGTCCTGGGATCAAGCCCCGCATCAGGCTCTCTGCTCAGCAGGGAGCCTGCTTCCCTCTCTCTCTGCCTGCCTCTCTGCCTACTTGTGATCTCTCTCTGTCAAATTAATAAAATAAAATAAAATTAAATTAAATTAAATTAAATTAAAAAAAAACATTTTAAGGTCCCAAACAGTCTGGGTTCTTAAATTAAGAGTATTGGTTCTTGTATAATACTCTGAATTCTGCATTTAACTAAGAGTTACATCTTTCCCCCCTTCTTTCAGGTTGTGCTGATTTTAGGTGCCATTTTGCTAACCTAGGCTTCAGACCATTCTAGATTTGGAGCATGAGAAGCAAGAAGAAAAAGATGATAAGAATATTTTTACTTGAACTTGACTTTGGTGGACTAGATTTGAGTTTCTGGGATTGGCAGATATTTAGGACTAACTCTTTCATGGATGCTTTTGTGGGTACTTGAAAGAGTCCCACCACTGGGGTCTCTCACCTCTGGATCCCTACTAGATAAATCTGTGTTTGAATGCTGCCTTGATCTTTCTACCCTTGTTACCTCTAGACATATGGGATTCACTTAGATCCTATCCTTGTGGATGGAGCCCTTGATCCCTTTCAGTAGCTCTATTGAACAGAATCCAAGGTGAGCTCTTCTTCATATATGGGCCACCTCCAGCTATGGGAAACCCTCATGTAGACTTTACCTGGGCAAATTTGAGAGTGCAAGCCAATCTCCAAACAATAGAAACTCTTCTGTAACACCACAGCATTTGGTAAGCCGATCTCTTGACTTCTTGATTTCTCTGGACAGGAATCAGGCTGGTCCTTAAGCCTCATCACTGCAGGGATAAGACAGTACACTTTCTCAGTAGGCTTCTTGGAGGCCCCTGCATGTCCAAATGAAAGTGAGGAGAAGGAACAGGCATCTCCTATTCCTTACCCTTTGGGGATGGAGGACCTGAGAGGTCCAAGAGTTTTGTTATTATTTCCTTTAAAATCAGAATTTGTTCACTGTTTTCTGCACCTAAAACTAATATAACACTTATGTTAATATTACTGGAATTAACAATAATAATAAAATTTGCTGAATTTGGGTCTGGCGCCTTACTTTAGATTGAAGCTTCTAGTTCATCTTGATGTGTCAGCTATAGCTTGTCAATGTCCTGAGATATTCCTTTTTTGGGAAATAGGAATCTTGGGGCTAGAACTGAATTTGAGTAAAACACGAATACATTATTTTCAATTCTTCTCCATATGAACTTTTGTCATTTCTCAGTTCATTAATAATTTAGCTATGGGGAACTGAACACTGTGTTATTATAAATTTTTTCTCCTACAACTTTAATTATAATAACTGATATTTATTTAGGGATGATATTTTCCACCTCTTTTGTCATTTTTTTGTCCTTCTAAAATGTAAAGGAATTAATTATCCTTCAAGTAAACCTCTATGGGATGATCTTGGACTATGAGAACTCTCTTGTATGCCATTAATTTCAAATTTAGACTTCTCTTTGCTTACTGTGTAAATTATCTCTCCAACAGTTAGGAATGATTGCATCTCTTCATTAAAGAAATCATCTCTCATATGAAAAGTTGTCTTAGAAAAAATTTTTAATATTGTCATTTGTCTTGCCATGTAAGACTTCTGACAGAAAATTTTCTCATAGATGATAGGTACTTCATTTTTTTATCAAAGAAAAAGTGGTATCTTATAGCTGATTTTTTAAAAATTTTTATTTATTTATTTATCTGAGAGAGAGTGAGGCTGACTCCACTCTGAGTGGAGAGCCGGATGTGGGAGTCCATCCAAGGACCCCAAGATCATGACCTGAGCTGAAGGCAAATGCTTAAATGACTAAGCTACCCAGGCTTTCCAAACACATTTTGTTAAAAGAAGTTGAGATCTGTCATGTATAGAAATTTTGGCTTAAAGGGGAAAAAAAACAGGAAGTACATCAATTTCATATTACTTCCTTCTAAGATATTAAAGTGATGCGACAAGAAAGCAAAGATTACTATTTATAAAATATTACTGTGAAGCTAGATAGAAAACTCTATAGCAGAATTAGAGAGGACATAAAATTGAATAATCTTGACCCATTTTATTTACACAGGCACATAGGAATTATGACTAAATCAAAGCTATGATCCACCAGGCCAACATTTTACTAACAACGGTAGCCCAAGTTTATAAAAACTGTTATGCAAGTGTTAGTCATAACATCTAAGAATTTCAGATGAAATTGCAAGATGGTTGGAACCAGAAAGTTGAGTTCATTGAATTATTTTGTCCCATCACATTTTGTAAGTCTTAAATACATCCAGCCTCACTCCATGTCTTTTTAATTAAGGCCATGATTGGGGTTGAAGTGAATCACTGTCTTCTTTCGCATGGTATTTTGGTGAACAGTATGACTGGTAATTTTGTGTTGTGTCAATTCAGCTGTAACTGTGGTTTCTAGAATTTCTTTTTGGTTAGTAGTTTCAATTTAGAGTTGGCTGTTAGGGAAATTTGCATGAGATTTGGAAGGAAGAAACAGCAGTCATTCTCTCAGCGGATCGATGCAGGGTCTCAGGCAGCAAGGCTCAGTACATGCTTTTGTGTGTCTGCAAGTGAATGTGGTTACTGATGTTCTAGCTCCCCTTGTTCACACAGATTAGCACCTAGGCCCACAGCTTCTCTAGCTCCCATAAGATCTCCTATGTTAGCTTTTTCAGTTCCTGGGCCTGTAGCATATATAGCAAGATGGTGAAAGGCAGCAACTTTTTCTGCAGGTCTAACGCCATCTTTCTTCAAGTTTGACATAATGAGTGACCAGCTTCCAGTTTGTACTTGTGGAAGAAAAATGTGTTCTTGCTTTACCCTACTGTCTGTCCAGCTTCTCTTCCTAACTCTCTGACCTGCTGATTTATAATGACTTCAGGCCCACCAACAGACACAAAGGCACCAGCCTTCCACAAAGTTTTTCACACCTCCTTCTGTGATCCTTTGTAGTGATTTCTCTTTAATCCTCCAGCTATTCACATTCTTATCTTTCTTTCCTCAGGTTCTCTCACAATTGTGTTAATTTTTTTTTTTTAATTTTACTTATTTATTTGACAGAGAGAGAGCACAGGGAGGGGAAACAGTAGGCAGAGAAAGAGGAGGAAGCAGGTTTCCCACTGAGTGGGGAGCCCAATGCAGGGCTCAATCCCAAGACCCTGAGATTATGACCTGAGCTGGGGTTTAATCACCTGAGCCCCTTAAATCTAATATCTATAGTAAGTCCCTTATTCCATACTATTCATAGTGTTCTGTTTTCCTGATTCAACCCAACTAATGTAGTGCCTTTTTATAGAAAGGATTATAAGAGAAACCTCAGTGGGAGAGCTCAAAAAACCCAAGGTAAAAGATGTTCTTTGGACATGGCAAAGAAGTCTGTTTAGGGGAGACCAGGAAGACCACAGCATCGCCTACACCAAGGAATGCCAAAGGATCTTGAATATAACAAGGAAATTAAAAAGGAATCCATAGTATTTTTAGGTCTGCCCTGAATATATTTATATTCTCAATGAAATAAAAAAGACCAACTCTTAAAATGTGTCCTTTACTTTACATATTTTTTAAATTCTCTTATGACAACTTTTATCTTTTTTCTCTGCTTTTACATAATTGTAGAAACAAGGAAAGGAAAAAGAAAAAGAAAAGCCAGAAGGCAAGATGTTAAAAAGTGCCTGACTTTACTTTCCAAAGTTAACTTTTCAAATTCTCTTAAGAATATAACAAAACTGTTGGTGGGAATGCAAGTTGGTGCAGCCACTTTGGAGAACAGTGTGGAGATTCCTCAAGAAATTAAAAATAGAGCTTCCCTATGACCCTGCAATTGCACTACTGGGTATTTACCCCAAAGATACAGATATAGTGAAAAGAAGGGCCATCTGTACCCCAATGTTTATAGTAGCAATGGCCACGGTCGCCAAACTGTGGAAAGAACCAAGATGCCCTTCAACGGACGAATGGATAAGGAAGATGTGGTCCATATACACTATGGAGTATTATGCCTCCATCAGAAAGGATGAATACCCAACTTTTGTAGCAACATGGACGGGACTGGAAGAGATTATGCTGAGTGAAATAAGTCAAGCAGAGAGAGACAATTATCATATGGTTTCACTTATTTGTGGAGCATAACAAATAGCATGGAGGACAAGGGGAGTTAGAGAGAAGGGAGTTGAGGGAAATTGGAAGGGGAGGTGAACCATGAAAGACTATGGACTCTGAAAAACAATCTGAGGGTTTTGAAGGGGCGGGGGGTGGGAGGTTGGGGGAACCAGATGGTGGGTATTGGAGAGGGCACGGATTGCATGGAGCAGTGGGTGTGGTGCAAAAACAATGAATACTGTTACAATGCTGAAAATTTTTAAAAAAATTAAAAGAGAAAGAATATAACAAAACTTTTGCATATTCCCACTGAAAGTCCATATGAACATATCCACAAAATTTTCATTCCATCTTAGGTCATCCAAGGATCTTTCTGCAAAGCCCATCTATGTAAGTATAGGGAGTTTTTGTACTCCCTTCCCATTACTTCTATAACATCATCTTTTCTCAGTCTTCCCTATCTTGGTTATTAGCATCATCATTCACATAAATGATAAAGCCAAAAACCTCATCAATCTTGTTTCCACCCTTCCTGGCTTCTCACATCAAATCCATTAGTGAATCTGTTTGACCAAACCTCCTAAATATTTCCCAATTCCAATAACCTCTCACCACCTCCATTCTTACCTTTATTTACTTTATTGGACTATAGTAAAAGCCTCCTAACTGGTAAACCTACTTCTACCCCTGACCTCTTTGGTCCATGCTCCACAGAGTCTATGGGAGACTTTGAAAATGTAAGTCAGATCAGTTTCTTTTCTAGCTTAAGATTTTCCAGTATCTGCCCATTGTAATGAGAATAAAATCCAAAGTTTTAAGGTCCCACATGACTTGACCCCTAACAATTTGCTTATGATACTCTCTTGAACACACTCAGCAGGTACCCACTTTTAGGCAATTTTGCTAGCTGTTCCCTCTGTTTGGCATGTTCTAATACAGCCAACTCTTCTTCTTCTTCTTCTTTTTCTTTTTTTAAAAAAAGATTTTATTTATTTATTTGACAGAGAGGGAGACAGTGACAGCAGGAATACAAGCAGGGGGAGTGGGAGAGGGAAGGCAGGCCTCCCGCTGAGCAGGGAGCCTACGCAGGAACCTGGGATCATGACCCAAGCTGAAGGCAGTCCCTTAATAACTGAGCCACCCAGCAGCACCCCCCAGCCAGCTTTTCTTATCTTTCTGGCCAACTCTTATAATTTCAGTCCCAGCATAAAATGTCATCTTTTCAAATGAAACAAGATAAAACCAGAGAGGGAGACAAACCATAAGAGACTCTTAATATCCGGAAAAGAACTGAGGGTTGCTGAAGTCGGTGGCGGGGGGGGGGTGCAGTGGGAGGAATGGGGTGGCTGGAAGAGGACATTGGGGAGGGCTGTGTATTGTATAAGACTGATGAATCACAGACCTGTATCTCTGAAACAAATAACACATTATATGTTGGTAATAAAAAAATTTTAAATGTCATCTTTTCAGAAATATCTTCTGGAACCACCATGTCCAAGGTAACACTCACCTCTCAGTCACTTTCTATTTTATTATCTTTATAACACTTGCCCACTATTTGCAACAATCCCTTCTATTTATTTATTTGTTTACCTGTTTGTTGTCCGTCTCCCTCCTCTAGAGCCTTGTCTACTTGTTTATCACTGAAACTCCAAAACCTAGCTCAGCCCTTGACGAGAAGGTGCTCATCAAATGCTTGTTGGTTGAAGAGTATGGTGATTTTCTTTTATAAAAAATAATGAAATGTATTGATATTGTCACAGTTATATTCCTAGTTTTTATAAAATGTACTCCAGAAACTTATAGAAGCTTATACATATTTACTGTGAAGACTTCTGTGTCTAGATTGTAATGTGAATCTGGATTGTTTAGAATCACAGTGATTACAAATGACAAATAAATCTGTAATTCCATTTTCTAACTGTTCTCTCAGTGTCTCCTATACTAACATACATTCCTTCTGTAATCCTCTCCTTCAGGAAGCTGGTCCATCATTATAGTAAACATCTAAACCCCTGAACTCTAAAATTGTCCTTTAGCTTTTCTACCCTTAAAGTTACCATGGTGTTGCCTGGCCTGTAGTAATCCCAGTTAGTCATTATTTATTTTTTACTGGCTGTGTTCTTGATGATGTCCAAACCATTTTAGGTCTTTTAAATGGTAACTTTCCCAAACAATTTTATGTAGGGGACTGAATGTGCTATGCTACTCATGGATTCTAGCTAAAAATTAACATAAGGTATGGGTTTTAAAACATACTTCCTCTAATCTAAAAAGGACTAAGCATCAAGTTGTTTGCTATCTCCACCCAGTAGAGTGTACAGGAACTCAATAGTTGTAGCCTACAAAATAGTTCCAGAAAGCTTCTCTGTATCAATTATTTCAGAATTCACAGGTGAATCTAGATCCCAATGACCCTAACAAAACCTGCCACATCTAATAGGGAAATTCCAAAATACGGTGTCCTCTTCTTATTAGTGTAATAGAGATAAAATTATTAATTGTATGAGGTAGTCATAATTACCTATTTGTAAATATTCATGGTCTCTCTCCTCTCCCTGAACATCCACCTACATGTAAAAGAAAGGATTTTTTTTTTGGGGGGGTGGGGGAGGTTCCTTGTGGCTATCATTTAGTTTCCTGAATTCAAATGTGGGTCTAAACAAATACACAAGGTAAAACAAATGAAATTGATGGTCCATTTCAGCTTTAGCACTTCCCATAGAGTTCACTGAGAACTTCATTCATAAGTGGAAATGCATTACAGCTCAACTTCTCCCTCTTCCCAACCCTGCTTCCTTTCCCTCCATCCTACAGGTGTTTATCCCCAAAGCACTTCCTAACAAACATCCTGCCCCCAAAATGCTATCACAGAACCTGCTTCCTGGAGAACCCAACCTGTGATAGTTATTCTTTTTTTTCCTTAAGATTTATTTTTAATGTTGAGTAATCTCTACATCCAATGTGGGGCTTGAACTTATATGTGACACTTCCTCTTAAAGCTCAAAAAACATTCTCCTTGTTGGGAAGAACTGTAAAGCCTAAATTGTTCTTCAAATCTAGAAATCATTGCTAACTTTTAAGTACAAGTAAAAGGTTGAAAGTTTACTATTAATGCTTTCAAAACATCTGCTTGGGATGCCTGAGTGGCTCAGTGGGTTAATCATTTGCCTTCGGCTTAGGTCATGATCCCAGGGTCCTGGGATCAAGGCCCGCATTAGGGGTCCTTGCTTATCAGGGAGCCTGCTTCTCCCTCTGCCTTCCTATCCCCCTCCTTGTGCCCTCACTCTCTCTCTCTCTGAAAAATAAATAAATACATCTTTAAAAAATTCGCTTATGTTTACATTATTATGAACATTTTTCTTACATGTAACATTTTTTCCTTTAAACATTAAGCATTTCAATCCTTTCACCACTTAAAGATTTTAGGATATAAGGATGTAAGGTTAATGAGGAAATTAATTGCAAATAGCTCAGAATTTGCTTTTATTTTAGTATTATTTTCAATGGAGTCCATAGTAATTTAGAATTTCTGGGGTGCCTGGGTGGCTCAGTGGTTTAAGCCTCTGCCTTCGGCTCAGGTCATGATCTCAGGGTCCTGGGATCAAGCCACACATCGGGGTCTCAGCTCAGCAGGGAACCTCCTTCCCCCTCTCTATCTACCAGCCTCTCTGCCTACTTGTGATCTCTATCTCTGTCAAATAAATAAATAAAATCTTAAAAAAAAATTTCTAGTGATATGGATGAACATTGATTATACAGTCTATGAGAAAAACAGAATTTTAAAATGCTTTAGAGGTGTTTGGTTAGTTCAGTCGGTAGAGCATACAACTCTTCATCCCTTAATCTTGTGAGTTCAAGCCCCACATTGGGCAAGGAGCCTACTTAAAAAATAAAAATTTTAAAATGCTTTAATATGAATAAAATGTCTTTAGAATGTATTCCATTTCATGGGGCACCTGGGTGGCTCAGTCATTGAGCATCTGCCTTCGGCTCAGGTCATGATCCTGGGGTCCTGGGATTGAGCTCTGCGTCTGGCTCCCTGCTCAGCAGGAAGCCTGCTTCTCCCTCACCCATTCCCCCTGCTTGTGTTCCTTTTCTCACTGTCTCTCTTTCTTTATCAAATAAATAAATAAAATCTTCAAAAAAATTTAAGAATGTTCCATTTCAAAATCACTCTTTTCTGATTATAAAGCAATATAGCTCAAACTATTTTTGTTTGAGCAGTATAGCTCAAACAAGAGGAAAACAATACTCTCAATTCTATGATCCAGAGAAGTAATAATATGTTACTTTTTAAAAGATTGTATTTATATATTTGGGAGAGAAAGAAAGCATGAATAGGGAGAGGGGCAGAGGGAGAGGGAGAAGCAGACTCCCCCCTCAGCTGGGAGCCAGACATGGGGCTTGATCCCAGGACCCTGGGATCATGAGCTGACCAAAGACTGGTACTTAACCAATTGAGCCACTGAGGCACCCATGTATATGTTATTCTAACTTTTGAAATAAACATTCATATTAGATGATCTGTTTGCAAATATGTGTATATGCTAATTTCAGTTTTAAGATACTTAATAAAACATATTTTAGGAACCTCCATTTTTAGGACTTTGCTAGCAAACTCCTTAAAATGTGGTGAAAAGTTATAACATTTCTTTTACATTATTTTATAATACAGAATTTTGATTAACACTGGGTGTCACTCCAATGAATTCAAACTAGTGATATTTATTACACTTAAAGAAATTGTCCTATAACCTCTATCTTACTACAACTCCACTCTCATGGTGACAAACCCCCGTTCCAGTGCACAGGGAAACACCTCTGTTTCTGTTTTCTAAGCCTACAAAGTAAGTGCCATAGAGAGGTGCTTATATGAGTTGTTCTTGTCAGACTGACCCTCCTACATATAACAAAGATAAACTCTTAGTGAAAGATAAAGTACAAATAACCCAAAGACATTGGCATTGGAGAATGACCAAAAGTAAGGAGTTCTAGAGGGCAGTTGGAATTTTTAAGAAGAGAGGTACTCAGAATTCTATTTTCAAAGTTTCTGGCATAAGGGCAGTCCTCAATTTCCTCCCTGCAAGTTGGCAAAAAGTCATACAAAACAGGTTTTTTGGCTTCAGGTTTTTCTGGCTTGAAGAGTAAGAGACAGATTTTGGGATAGGTACAATTTCTAGAAAGTAAAAGGGAAATCAAAGGAAAGAGGGAGCCAGAGAAGGGAGTCTCTAAATTCTTTTTATATATCTCTTGTTGACTTCTGAACAGTGCTTGAATAGGACAGACTTAAGGAAATCAAGCCCTGCTTAAAAGAACTAACCTGAAATTTGAGCCCAGTCAGTTTAGTTGAATGCTAACTAAACAAAACAAACAAAAAAGCCCTAACATTCTTTAGGTCTTGAAAGTATGAAAATGTAACTCATTTTTGAGAGAAAAAACAATCCACAGAGATCAACTTAGAAATGTCCCAGGTGTTGTAATTAGCAGACAGAGTTTGAAAGTGATTATTATCAACCTATTCAATGACATAAAAGAAAATACATGCATCATCAATGAAATACATGAAATCTAGCAGAGAAATAGAAACTATAAAAAAAAGAAGCAAACAGAAATTCTAGAACTAAAAAAAATGTAATACCTGAAATAGTAATTCACCAGATGAACTTAACAGTAGAATGCAGATGACAAAACAGAATCAGCAATCTTGAAGATAGGTCAAGAGAACCTGACTCTCATCTGAAGAGCACAAAGAATGTTGAAATAAAAATTAAAAAGGCCTCAAGGACCCCATCAAAAAGTCTAAGATAGGGCCCCTGGGTGGCTCAGTTGGTTAAACGTCTGCCTTCAGCTCAGATTACCAGCCCACTGTCCTGGAACTGAATCCCACATCAGACTCCTTGCTCAGCAGGGAGACCTGCTTCTCCCTCTGCCTGCTGCTCCTCCTGCTTGTACTTGCTCTCTTTCTCTCTCTCTCTGACAAATAAATAAAATCTTAAAAAAAAAAAAAAAAGCCTAAGATGTATGTAATTCAAATCCCAGAAGAAGATGAGAGAGAGGAAGAATGGACAGAAAGAGTATCTAAGGAAAACATGGCTGATTATTTCCCAAATTTGGTGAAAGATATAAATTTACACATTCAAGGAGCACAACAAACCCCTATAGGATTAATACAAAGAAAATCACACTGTTATAAAGAATTGACTGGCCTTTGTCCCTAGTTCTTAGGAGATAACCTCTAAATCTTTGAAATTTCTTAGAATGACAAGACTATCTTTGTTATTTATGATGGAACCTTGGGACCATACTTGAGTTTATGCTAATGAGATGATGCAGGATGGGTGCTGGCCACACCAGAATGACTAACCATGTAATTTACTGGTTTGGGGCTTTGAGTTATTTGATGTGAGCCCAACATCTGGAGAGGGCAGGTAGACTGGAAATTGAATTCAATCATGTGGCCAATGATTCAATCACTCATGCTTATGTAATGAAACTCCAGTAAAAACTCTGGGGCTAAGGTGAGATTCCCTGATTGGTAATTAGACATAGTGTACCTGGAAGGTGAGGTGTTGGAGGACACAGAAACTTTGCTTTGGGGACCCTCTGAGACCTCACTCTTTGGGTTTCTTCACCTGGTTAGTCCTGATTTATATCCTTTATAATA